TTAACAATAAACAAACATTACAGTGCTTTCAGAAAAACTGTTTCCAATATTTACGGTCAAATATAATATATTTATATATTTAAAAACTGTCATGTCGCAGATGACTGCATGCCCCTGAATGCAACAACGAACTGTGTGCTTGTAGAGCAAGAAGTTCGAAAATATGGAGAATGTAGCTGGTAGCTAATTGGCTTTTGTGGCACACCGTGAAACATCACTCAAATTATTATAGTCAATTCAGCTGTCTTAATTGGATTTTAATGTCACATTTGATAAAATTTGTTATAAACTACCCCGGTACTTACAAGATATGGAAACATCTTTTTTGAAAGCACTGTACATTTTTTAGTAACTACTCGGTAGTTATTAACAGGTAAATATGCACTGGGTTTTAATTACTGCATTTAGAAATCAGTGAAATCAACACAAATAAAATCCAATGAATAATTAATATGCATATGATATAGAGACCACTAAAACAGCCCAAGACTAATTGGAGGCAGGAATTCATATATAAATGTCAAAAAAAGTATGAATGGTATTGAATTTGAACAAAGAAGATTTTGTAACCTCCAGGAATTGCTAGCTCTGAATATGGTTTATGTTATAGTTTTCTAATATAAACTTTTCATCTTTATCGGTCCTAAGTATCACAGACTTTTTGTTTCTTTTTTCATTCATTGTAATTAAAGAAACAGTGTCTTTTTATAAATTGAATACATGTAGTTTTAAAGAAAGGCTTCAGTGTTGTTTTTTTCATTACACAGGAATGTCTGTTTTCTCAATGTATGTTGCATTACCATGTGGTACATGATGGAAAGTTTACAACAGAACTACAGCCTTCAGGAAAGACTGATACGTACTATTGCTGACTGGCGGGCTTATTCCACGGATGACGTGGAAGACCTTCTCAATCAAGGTGCGGATATCAACGGAGCTTCTGGTACCTTGTTACCTCTACACTGTGCCTGTATGGTTAGTGACAGCCATGTCTTGAGATTGCTGCTTGACAGGGGCGCTGAGGTGAGACCAAATTTTATAAATGCTTATATCCTGCCAGATTTTAAGCCAAGAGGAAAAGTATATTTCGGAACTAGTGAGGAAATGCTGTGTTAAGTGCAACCTTTGATCAGTTTGTATCGGTAAATACAATAATTTTAAAGGAATGTGTAGTAGCTAAGGTATAGCTGAAAGCACATGAATGTCAAATGTATTATGTAATATGATGAATTCACTGTAAAACCTGTTGAAATAGAAACATGGCATTTTGGCAAATTTGATTCAATGCATTGGCAAGAATTAGCTAAAGTGACAACACTTTTCAAGTGAAATTTATTCGATAAAGTTGTTGCAAAATAAGGTAAACGAGATAATTTCATAATTGATAGTAATGAAATTGAACCATAAAAAATCAAATGACGAGTCAAGTTAGCAAAATTATATTAACGCTGACCACTTGTATTTTGTATTTCTCTGAGATCACATAACACTGAATCACATGACAAGGGGTTACAGTTCAGTTGTGTCCTCAATTGACCCCATGTGTAGCAATAAATCGAACAGTGTTCAAAATCAACTTAATCTAGTTTCCCAGGAATACAGACAGAATAAATTACTTCAAATTTCACCATTTCAATTACAAAAAAATCAGTGTTGCTGTAGCGATGATTACGTGACACTGAGGCGAAACGGAAATGAAGCTGATGGCACATTACAGCAGAGTCGAATGTTTGTTTACACAAAGCTAAAGCCAAATAAGCCAAAGCCTATAGGACAGCCATACTGTACTGTTGCCCTGGTTTTGTTTCAGGTGATATACTAGCGTTTGCTTTATTTGGGTTTATAAAAAATCACATACCGGTAAAAGCCAAAGCTAACAAATGCATTTAAGAAAACATTTGGGCTGTTTCATGTACTAAATAAACTTCTATGTTTATGTCATGTCTGTTTCGAGTACCGGTAATTATGAGAAATGTTAAAGGCTCAGAATTAAAGGCTTTCCAATCGTTTATGTCACTGTATCCACACCTTCCTCAAATAGGTTAATGCTGTGGACGGTTATCAAAGAACTGCTCTGCATTACGCCGCTGAGAAAGACGACATTTGTACGGAGCTTCTAATAGAGTACGGCGCTGATCTGAATGCTCCCGATGGAAACCAAGATGCGCCGCTTCACTGGGCTGCCTTCAAAAATAACTTAAGTTGCGTGAAAACTTTACTTCAACACAATGCTGCAGTAAACATTGTTGATTACAATAACGACACGCCAATCAGTTGGGCGGCAAAGAAATGCAACATTGAAAGTGTGCAGCTGTTGTTAGATTACGGTGCGGATGCATCGATTGCGAATTTTAACGGAGATTTGCCGGTTATGCGAGCTGCACGTTTGGCAGCAAGCGGTTTAGACAGCCAAGATGTGGAATGCGTAGAACTACTCATGAAGGCGTCTGGTCAGTTTGATTTACGTGATCTGGCCGGTCATCTGCCAGATATTATAAAGCAAGATCCTCTCTTACATGACGTTCTATTTAATGTTTGTGAGAATGTGCTTCCTCTGAAACAGCTTTGTCGTCAGGCTATTCGCAGAAATCTTGGCCAGTGTTATATTCCTAATAAAGTACCAGGGATTCCTTTACCGACTGCGCTGCAAAATTATCTACTGCTACAGGAACATTGACGGGAATTTGACGCTTGTGCCAAAATTTGTGAATAACAGTCATTTATGCTCTCATACAGGAGGGTAATTACTTGAATTATGTAGAGCGTTCTCTGGCAGTGGTAGTGATGTATTATCTATTTTGCATGTGACTAACCCTGTCTGGTGTTGATATAAACAGATCATGCAATTCTATACAGCGCCCTCTGGTGGTGGTATGAGGTATTTATTCTGTTTTGCATACCACTCACTGTCTGATGCCATTGTTGTTGATATAAAGAGATTATGAAATTCTGCACAGTGCTCTCTAGTGGTTAGTAATCATTACTAATGAGATTTTTATTTTATTTTTCATGTCTCTTGATTTCTGCCAGCACTCTCCGGTGGCCGAAATGACAAATTAGTTAAATTCACCATGACTCACAAACACAAATATTGCATGCCAATCTCTGGTGATGGTGATTAAAAATGTAGCAATCATGAATAAATTATCAGTTCTCTGATACATTTCTTATTGGTGTGATATATATTATTTTTATGAACAAAGCTTATCTGACATGAAAACAGTCCAGTGTATGTTGTAGCGCCCCCTGGAGGCTGTAATGAGTAACATCTTTGATATGATGTGGGTATTGTGTGAAACTTTTTCTTTTTTTTAAACATGAATTCATTTAACAAACTAGTAATAAATGAATGAATATATGATATCAAATGCAAATGATTATATTTTTGATCTTATCATTTAATTGCTATTATGAGAAGTATTTTGTGAGAGAAACCAACATCACAAATCTATCACAAGAACTGACCAGGTAATTGGTGAAGTTTTCCAACAAACAATTAATATTTATATCAAATTTTTTGTTTGTTTCTTGTTAATTCATCAACTATTTGAACGCCAAAAAGTACAAATACATAATTTCCCATTGTCATTGTCATTGTCAGTGCAAAAAATTATTGAAAATACAATTTCAGCAGGAAAATTATGGCATTAAAAAATTACTCTACCCTTTATTCTCAGATTTTGTAGGGAATCTCAGAGCTGTTTTTGGATGATGGGTTATTAATTAATATTTATGTAAATAAATTACATTTATACTGACTTTAAATATAAAAATGTTCATCATTTACCCACCAAAATATTTCAGGGAGTTGTTTTCAATATGCAAAATTCTTAAGGGATGTCTTCATAACTTAATAGGTATTTTTAAATATCATCTATATTCTTTGTAACCATACTACCGGGTAATTAAAATGATTTTGCATCAGTATTATAATGTTAATTCTCAGCATGGCAATGAAAAGTTAGCTGATATTGAACTTGAACTTGGAGCATCATTATAAACATAGAAGACATTGTAACATTTGTTTATTTCAATAGTGCACTCGTTAACAAGTATATTCTTTAATGATAGACACCGAATTTCAAGTCTAAAATTTTTAAAATTAATTTAAAATTAACTGAAACTGTAAATAAAATTTTTGAAGTTTGTATGGCACCATTTTTTGTATTAACATTATTCAATACCACAGCAAGATTATATGTTCAATGTTTTACATTCATTCATGCTTCCAAATACATGTACATGCATTAACCCTTCCACCACCAGTTCTTTCTTTTCTTTTCAAATTCACAAAATAGTCCCATTTATAGTCTGCACTTTTCTTCAGAAGATTGGGACACAAATGGCCGAATTTTTACTAAAAACTGAAAATTGACTCAAATTTTGTGTGTTGGATCTATAATTATCATACATTTCCAGAAATATTGAACATTATAAGAAAAAAGATGCAGAAACATTCAGCAAGAAAGTCTGGTTGTGAAAAGGTTAATTAAAGCAAAAACATCCTCTGAAACAGAAAACAAACATTTCCCAATTCTACCATGCCAGAAAACAGAAAAAAATGTATTGAATCCTGAATTGAACTAATTACTTAAGCCTCTTTATCTTCTCGGAACAGGCAAATATTTAACTGGATTTTCTGAGCTACGTTTTTGTGTTATCTTCATTTTCTTTTGCCTGGTCTCTATGGAAACTATAATGCACAGTCCCTCTATCCCCGGTCTAGAAACGGTCATTGTATTAGGTGTGAATTGGTCTCCTTCCCTGGCAAAGGCGCGTTGCGGGTGTGGGCAAAGCATTGTCACGTGATCAGTACGTGATTTGACATCGTCAGTGTTATGTATTTTTTTACAAC